TGGTATTTTGTTGCCAGGGAAACCGCACAATCTGAGATGCTGTCTTTTTTTGGGGGGTTGTTATTAATATTTATTATTATCAATATTATGATGTTGTTAAAAGCTGCCAATGCATAATGAAAGTAAGAGAATCCCACATGTCACTTTGCCTAAACCGGAATGAAATTTGTAATGGACTGCCTGGCCTCTTCCTAACCTCAGCCTTTAGTTTGTCAGGAGAAATGAAACAGTGGAATCAATTTCCTTGACTGACGTCATCTACTACACTAACAGCTGCCTGAGCTTTGTATTACCTCCGCTTGGTTGTCTTATAAGAACTGCATGACTAACTGAAGAATTTCAATAATTTTACTTCCGAAAAATCCGAGCTGACATCTTGCGGTACTATGATGCATGTATCCGCTTACGTCTTGCAGCAGAAAAGCCTGTGCCCGTCTCTTTATATCAAAAACGTACACTCTGAAGTGCGATTTCCCTTCACCTTCTCTTGTAGCCCCTAACTTTTAACATTTACACATCAACGCAGTGTTCAGAGTGCTCAGAGGGGCAACATTTTGAGGGGGATCAACATAACAATCGCTCACTGGGCACTCCTACTGCATCTACACGAGGCCGTTTTTACAGCAGCAGAAGGTGGATCACGGACGTTAAGAAATTCCTGATCCAGCAGCTTCCCGTCGGAGACTCCGTGTGCCTTGAAAGGCAAAGAGCGGAGGGGCTAAGGCCAGGGAGCAGTAGGAGAACCACTGGGCCCCACGTCTGGGGTCTCCCGGGGGGGCTGTCCCCTGCCTCATCCTCACACAGCCCCACTGCTGGCACTCAGTAAGGGTGCAGTGTGGGTTACAGAACAAGACGCCTGCATCAGAGAGGCTGCTGGGAATGTCAGCAGAAGATCCCCGAGTCCCCTGTAGTGGCTGGGCAACTGTAGGAGACAAATGGCCACGTCTTCAGCCGCATTAAATGGACACTGCTGCCCTGGTGGACGCGCAGCCAGGTCACCTGCTCCTCAGAGGACATGCCGTGTGAACCTCCAGCTCCCCTGGGTCAGCCAGGAGCACGGGGATGAGGCAGGTTCAAGCATGAAGGCTCCTTTTGCGTCAGGCAGGAAACGGGTCACCTAATATCCGCCCCCCACTTTAAGCGATAGACAAGTCGTGTTTTGCAGCTGCGCGTCTATGAAGCCAGGCAGAAGAAAACTACAGCAGGGATCTCAACTAAAAGAAAAAGTCTCTCCATCTGTACCTGAGCTTAAAATACAAAGACACAACAACTTTTATTTAGATTTATGGCTCTTATCGTTTGCAATGATGCACTAAAGCGAAACCAAGGCTCGGACGCGCTGCCCAATTCCCCGCTGGATTCGGTAGTTTTCAGGAGAGGAATAACTGAAGTCGTTTATTTTAAAGAAAGTGGGGCAAGATGAGGGAAAGGCAATAAACGCATTTTTCCAAAATCGATTCCAAAGGAAACGTCGGGTGGATGGGGGGAGGAGGGTTAGCAAGAGCTGATTAAAGCAATGAGGGCTGGATTGCGAAATTGATGATTTGAACCGAAAATAATTCCGACACGCAGCCTCATACAGTACACAGGCAGCGCCGCTCTATGATCAGAGACATGCTTCCAGAGGGCAAAGGCTGTTAAGGTTATGAGCTTCCCACATTCCAGGGAGATTATATAAAATATTGTTCAAGTCATATAGATACATTTTTCAACATTATATTGCATCTACGGAATCCAACACAGGTTTTAAAATTAACTTACAGAATAAGCACTTTTATGCTATAAACCCTCACTGAGACATCAGTTCTGCTTGTGTTTCCCATTGCTGTACACATTGGAATCAAGACTAAAGAAGGCACAAAACAGCTCTTTTTTATTTTAAAGCTGCTTGTGCGCTCTTTGCAGCCTGAAAGGTCCGTGAAGCGTGACGTGACGGCGATCGCCTTCAAACGCAGCAAACGGAAGCGAAACGGGCGCCTTTTTTCCCCCCAGTCGCCATCAAAAACGTGAAAACAACATGCGTCCGGCTCATAGAGAGAAGCCTAGAACAGGTGATGGCAGCCGAAAGCTCAGGATCCCCCTGCTCTGTGAGCAAGCCGGCAACACAACCAGATTCTCATGCTGTCTACAAAGCTGGCCCAGGCTCCAATGGGGTGGCCAAAGCTGCACGCAATACCATAGATGACTTCTGACTACTACATTGGCCACATTTAACATAACACCCCTTGATTGCGAATGCTGCATTTTCACAACGCATCCAAATGTGGTGTTTGCCTTTTCATCGCTTCCCCACCTTGCATAGAAGATGCACATGATGTGTCAACATAGACAAAAGTCTTGGATTTCCCCATCCTCTACTAATGTTTTACACGTTTCTTCTACCGGCATGTAACGCTACAGTATGCGCATAAACGACTTCTGCCAGGTGTTTTTGCCCAGGCTGGATTTCTACTGCTGTCTTTTGGAATTTCACTTGTCACTTTCCTTAAAGGGACCACCAGCTTCCCGCCATCTCCCCTTGAACTTCTCGTCTGCCTGCTGGACTGGCACCGGGAAGCAACCGGCTGTTACATCTCGCTCAAAGCTCGGTCGCTGTGCTGTTCGTTTGGAAACTGCTCCAGAAAAGATCCCATGGGGCTGTGATTGAGGAGAAGACGTGGAGATGCCCAACAGCGCCACAGACGACCCAGCTACAACGCCTCATCTACAGGCGTCTCGACATTCATACTTGCTGAACTGCTGCCCCCAGTTCTTCATCCCTTTTTTCTGTTTGCAAGGAAACTATATTTAATCATTAAAAATCCAAAATGTCCGCAACCCAGCATCAAATCCAAATCACATGAGAGGATCAAGTCAGCAAGCCACAAACAAATATCACAGGAGAGCACACATAATAAATTACAACAGCATTACTATGTTCAAGTAATATATTGTTACATTACGTGACATTTCAATATCAGAGTGGCACTTTGAGTCATTTACGTTGCAGGCAGTCCCCTTTCCTAATTTGATGTCAAGGTGCAGGAGACAGCTCTTTTGTGTTTCAGCTGAGCGAGCTGCTGCCTCGAGAGGGGCAGCTGGGAGATAACGGAGCTATCGTCACGTTCCGCTCGCATTATCAGCTGCGCCGCACATGGCGGACTGTCTAACGCACCGAAATGTCCACTCGCAAAAAAACGACGAGCGTGTTGATCTCGGGGAAACTGGCTCAGATTGTACCCGACTGGCTGACGGAGAGAAGCAACTCCTCCCGGACGCCTTTCTTGGGGCTGACATTAACAATGCATCCAAGAATAAAATATTAGCATCTGACCTCGTCAGGGCCTTTGAGAATTAAGAATACTTGGATCAGGTCCCCTTGTGGTTTCCTGTGTTTGAGGATTAAAAGGATTCAGATCTCCTCACCGGTATTGCAGGACATTCCCCTGTGGCCCTAGGATGCATCTGGTTGCTCTTCCCAGGACTGATCCCAGAGCAGAAATCATTTTTGTAACGCAGCGACCAAGACTGTACACTGTATTCTAAACGAGGTCTTACTAGAGCAAGGCAAACTTTTAACATAACATCCCTAGATGTTGCTGAACTGCTTTTCTGCAGACACACAAGATTTGATCAAGGGGCAGCCGCTGGCACAAGGCAAATCAAACCACAAGCCTGACAGCCATACAAAAATTAATCCTTAATCTTTTTCTCTTTAAAGTCTTCAACCAAAACCTTTCATCTGCCTTGATGTCCTTCTCAATGTAGGAACAGTTCCCCTTATTTCACTTCTTTACACACAAGACATTAGAAGAGATTTCCTACACTGAAAGCTAATTTCCTTTTAACTTCAACAATTGAGAAGAAAGGGGATCACAAGACGAGCTCTGCACTCATTACAAAGAAATGAGCTGAGCTCTGCCATGGTGGACACGTCGTGAACACATTTCTTTTTGCGAGTTACAGTAAAATAAAACAGAAAAGATTCCGAGGAAAGCGCCTTAATCACGGCATGGAAGCCTTTAATCAATAATTCAGAGGAAATGTAACACTATCTTGATAAACTCTATCTATAATTGATGGAAGGGCATGAGAAATCTGTATGAATAGGGAAGAGCTAGTATATTGCACAGCTCTGTATCACTTATGATTGTGAACCTGGTAAAAGTTTGAAAACATGCACAATATCTCTTGATATCATTAAGGGCTCTGTCTTTCTTTCCATCTTTCAGTCACACCCAAGCTGCAGATTACTAGGGCTGTAGGTACTTTACAGCACACAGGGATCTTGTGAGTTCTTGTGCGTCTGGAGCATCTGACAGCTTTGCTGTTCCTGATCCTAAAATTGGCAAAAGTCACCGGTTTTCAGAGTGGCAACATCTCTCACTTCTCTCTGCAGTACATCCAGGTTTTGAACTGAGTATAACTACAAAATAACAAACACATTCATTGCCTTCCCAGCATACAGCCACTGCTCTAGTCAGGGCCACTCAGCGGCTTTCAGCTACACAGTGCAAAGAGCACTCAACCAACACAACAGGCCATGCGACAGAGCTGACAGAGCTGACAGAGCTGACACAGTGAGGTCTGGTCTCCAGTCTGCCTTCTAACACAACACCCTCGGCAGAAACCGGGCAGAAATTGTTAAATCAAGCTTTTGGGGAAAAAAAAGAACAGAAATTGGAAACCCTAATTTGGGAGCTGAGCTGGAGGGCATGACAGCGCAGCAGCGAACGTCTCCCGAGAAGCGTGGGCGTGGGTGAGCAGGGGCCCCGATTCCTGGTCGCCCACACGTCCTGCAGCTGTGCCCTCAGACTGAACGTCCGAATCAATCCACCGATGAACAAGCTGCCGTCGGCTCTCGCGGGGCCGGAGTTTGCAGGGGAGCTCAAATTTGACACCTCGCTACTCGCTGCGGGTTTTTTTAAGGCCTGAAGATGCGACGATCTGAGCCGTCCACGCCTGCGGGCCGCGGACTAGCGGAAGTGGGCCTCCCCCCCCCCGCCCCCGCCATGACCCACCTGCCTGGGCGAAGCGCTGCAGCAGCGCCTCGCGGACCTCCCGCTGCAGGTTGAAGTAGTCGTGCTCCTCCGCGGGCGAGCGCAGGAAGAGAGGGATGTGCTGGAAGACCAGGACGTGGCGGGGGGCCGCCCGCTGGGCCTGCTCCAGCTGCCCCGCCAGCCAGGCGTCCTGGGAGTCCCGCAGGCCGGGGCAGGCCGTGCCGTCGAAGAACAGCTGGGAGTTCAGCACCAGGCACAGGACTCCGCCCACCCAGAAGCTGAAGTAGTCGTCCCCCCAGCTGCGGCGGTACTGCGCGACGGCCTCGGGGGTGGGCGTGTTGCCCAGGTCGTGGTTCCCGCTGACAAAAACCAGCGGGATGGCGGGGTCCATCTCCCGCAGGGCCGCCTTCAGGTCCCTCTCTTGCTCATCCCTCCAGGGCGCGCCTGCGGAGATGCGGAAGGCAACGATTTTCCGTTTTATTCCGCTATAGGTTACCACTTCAATGTTTTGCTCGTCTTGCATTCCATTTAAATTCACATACCGACATATGCCGGCAATAATCAATAAAGCCAACTGAAAAAAAAACAAAACGAGAAAAGCGTGCACCGGATCAAATGTCTCTTCGTATTCAGGCTGTGAAGGAAACCAGAATTGTTTCTGAACAAAATTAAATTTTCCAGGCAGTCTTAAACAGCAGTGCAATTCAATACTTCCAATAACAGCCTTTGCTCATTTCCAATTTGACATTCAAGTCATCTAATTGCCCGCTGTGGATCCTTAACATGCAAAGTGGAAAGAAATGATGAAAGGTGTTGGGTTGTCTATTACAGAAAAAAAAACAGTAACGACAGAGCTAAACAGCAAAACAAACAGACGACCCTACCATTTGTTAAAACTGACATGCACCACGCTGACATACAAACCATTTACTTTTTCATTGCAAGCTATTTTTACACCTCATCAACACAATAGGCTGTAATCTTCCACACACCTGAAACCTCAGCCTGCGCTCGAAAAAAAGGCAACAAGTCAATTAAAATTAGTTACAATGTAACAGACAGTAGTAGGAAATACACTGTACATTAGATTTCACACTTGACCTTCAGAAGTGGAAATGATTTAAAATCAGAACATAACGCGTTGCAAACACTAAAGCATGGTTCTAAACACTATTATTTTAGAAACATTCCCGATGGTGTGATTTAACCATTGCTGCCTTAACGCTCAGAAATTCTATTTTCCCATTTTTTCTATAATTCCGTTCCATTTTCTATCTGTTTTATCCAGTACAGGGTCGTGGGGGAGCCTGAGCCTATCCTGGTAAACAAAAGGTGTAAGGCTGGATGCACACCAGACAGGATGCCAGTCCATCACAGAGGAACTAGCATTCTAAAGAGAATTTAAACTATTTTAAATTGTGCCCTTCTATGCTCATTCTTGCTTATGTAACAGGACATGTTGTTGTTTAATTCAAGTGCCAAGCCATGCAGTTGAACACAACACATAGTGTTAGGTCAAAGTAATGTGCTGTGTCAGCGTTCCTTAGCTTACAGGACCTAAAGGACGCTCTGAGAGGCTGAAAAGACCTGTCTGCCTGTGCTGTACTTAAATTAGTTAATGTACCCATGCATGAATGACAACTTAGTTCAAATACAGACTGGTTTAAGTGACAGATTCATTCAGATCACGTTATCTGTGCATGTTTTATGTTGTAAAAATGAAACAAATTCTAGAAAGACTAAAAGCAAACCCTGTGCACAATGAAGGATACAACGCAAACACTGCTATAAAGAGATTAACATTAAGAGGTAGCCAATGTGTGGGCACACATGTACAGGACAGACTATGGCCCCCTAAGTACAAATACTCCAGTGAAATATGTCATCTTGCCTTCTCAGACTGCAAAGAACCATATTAAAAGACTGAAAGTCTGTACAGACAGAGAGTCTCATCAGTAAAACATACAGACCCTCTTTCATTATTGATTCCCCAGGTCATTCGCAATGATGTGCTGCATGGCCTCTAAGATCATCATATTATTCACTTTAAACAGTAATTAAAGAACTCTTTATTGGTGCTTAACGCTTATTAGCGCTCAGGACAAGAGGCTTAAGAACTGCATTTGCCCTGCCACAGCTGAGCAAATCTTCACAATCACCGTTTGATTCGGCCACCTCAAAAACAATGACTACCGCGATTATCTGATCCGTTTTCTCCAGGTGACTTGATTACAGGAAGTCGTTTGTTTTTAAAGGACGTCTGTGAGAAAAGTGAAACAAGTCACAACTCAGTGCCCTGTGCTTCTTGGATAGGCTCTGCGTCCACTCCGAGTTCACAGCCCTTACCGGGGCAATAGCTTTCGGAAATTGGATGGATTAGCCCTTAAGCAGCACATGAGACACTACACTGAACAGAGTCCTGAGGTTTCGAGGGTCTCATCAATTTACATTCCCCACAAGAACGTGGTCACTGGTCCGTAAACTGCTCCCTAGATAGTGCAGTGCAGTGTTTTCATTGTAAGGAAAACATTTTTCCCCGATATAAAGTGAAACAATATCGCTTTGCATGTTTCAACTTCACCAGCCTTCCAGAGTCAAAAAGGCTCAACGGTAAAAAAATAAAATAAAAAAAATCTATGTCCAATATGAAACCATGGCAAGGCCACAAGCCTCAAGCTCCGAAAGGAACACGTGAAGGACAAACATGCACAAATAGGCAAGGAAACACAAACAGTGAAACACATCATCTCGACAAAAGAAATACACAGCAAGGGGACATATTTAGGAGCCCAGATGCGTTGATACAGGCTCATACGGCTGGGAGGAGAGTGGTGGCTGTAACTGATGTGCTGATTAATGCAGCTGGCACACACAACCTGTCCCATGTCCTGATGCTAATCGATGTTGACACTGAGCTGTCTGAAGGCTCCTGACCCTTGCTCTACACTTTCTTGCTGCATTAAAAGGCTTCTCATCTCCGGCCACCTGCAGATTATGATACATGGAGACAAGGGGCTCTGCGGGGATCTGGAGAAGTGATGAGCTCCTGGAAACGATTCTGATCGTCTAAAGTGAACTGCTGTCCAGCCTTCCATCCAGTTCTATACGGGATCAATTTACTATTATTACCAACACCACAGCCATAAAATGATTTTATTTTTTAAAAATGAGGAACTAATCATCACAGGTTAGCTTTACCTGACGCAATTTATCCTCTGTTGCTATTCTCTGTTGCTTTTCTTCAGTGAGACAATCAATCAGGACTTGGTGCTCGGCAGCAGTATGCAGACACAGTTTTTCTGGAGGTGCAAAAACTCAGCATGAGATATTGCCCTAACACACTGTCTGACTAGGATTTAATCGGAGTGCTGAAGCTCCTATTTCCCTATCGGCCTATATGGTTTCATCTTCCCTCCACTTCCCAGAGCAGTGCAGGGTGTCAGCACCCTCGGGACCTTAGCACCTATCTGGGTGGTCTTTCGTTAACTCAAAACGGAAGCAGGCATGGCCTTGCTGCACATTGCATCTCCAGGACATTCAGATGTGAATTTCATGATCTCCCCTATAACTATCTCTGCAGAGCCCAGAGCTTTAATTTGTTGCTTGGCCCACAGCTTGTCTCCCACTCCAGATTTTAAGCTATACTAAACAAACACTCATTGCAATGAGGTGTGTAGCCAAGGGTGTTGGGGAACCTGTCACTTTCTTAAAAGAATAGGATTAATTTGAATCTCTTAATTGTTTACAGTGCCTTAACATTCTGGATGCTGACATTCAATTATTGTGTCTCATAAGTAAAGATTACTTCTCTTTTGGGCAGAAAAATGTCTTGCAAAGACTCAGTCAAGCAACTTGCTTCAAGTAAGAAGAGAGCTTTAAGATCTCAGTCTGTACCCATAACTTTAACAAAACAATCTAATAACATCTTTCACTCTCTTGTTAATTTATTTTGTTTTTGGAGGGTGGAGGGACATTAAACTAGTTTCTGTGACCAGTGTGGTAACACTCCACTAAAGAAACATTTAATGTGAGGAACAGAAAGAATGGCAGAAATCCCATTGTTAAAATGGTTTGCCAACTTTCGACAGGCACTAAAAGGAGCTATTATTCGGTAATTCACAAGGCTTGGGCAAAAGTCCAGCCCAGGCTGAAACAGCAACAGAACCTTCTGTGCATGGCACCAGTTTAGCTAAACTGTTCTGGACTCTTTGTCTATGTGCCTATAAACACCAGCAGCAGTTGACAATTTCCGCGTATGATAACAGAATAATGCATTTCATTCTCATAACAGAGGTCACAAATGCAATTCTGTTTGTTATGAAATAAGGTAAGTGTCTGCTGATGCCAGCTGGTTGGGAGGTGGTGTTTCTCAATCAACAGCTTTTTTTCCCCCTTGCGTGATATCCAGCCTCCTTCTCCCTTCCCCTCATTTATGCACTGAGAGCGTGCCAAGAAAGTCACTAAGGTACTGAGGGGAATCAAGACATATTCCCACGATCAGCAGTCTCAGAAGTGTGATGCATTTTTATTCTTGCTTACAGCCACCTCTTTACTTCACAACAGTCAGATAACTGGACAGAAGGCTGCAGCTGATGAACTCCTGGAAAACAAAAAGGAGTCTCTGGCCAGACAGCCTCTACATTGATCTAAAACTACAGACGGAATGATCAAACAGTCCTTGGAGGAGGAAAAAATAAATAAATAAAAGGTTGTGCACAGAGCTTTTCTGCAGCTTCCTCGTGGCACCACTGAAGGCAGCTTCCCAGCCTCAGCAAGAGGAATATTAGAGCTGTGGCAGAAGTGTTTGTTTTCAGTGGGGCCAACAATGCAAACACAACTGTACAAATATGTGTGAAGACAGGCGTGACGAGACACACATGCAGACGGATAAGAAACACAGAATACATGTTCAAAAAAAAGCACAAAGAGTATACAGGGAAACATTCCTTGCTGTATTTTTTAGTTTGCATGAAGACCTGCCTTAAGATGTTTTGGCCCCCCAGTTAAAGGGTTGGAAACGTCCTTGGGATGGGTTTAGACAAGCCTGCCTCGAGTTTTCTAGCCCCTGGGCTCCTGTGCGGCTGGAAATTGCCGTCTCCCTTGGACGCTCTGCTCTCTGCTGCCTGTCAGGTCCTGGCCTCCATTATGTAGAGGAGCATGGATTGGTTTGGAGAGCTCCAGTGCATTGTGGGTCCCAAGGGTTAATGCTAGTCTATTTTTAAAAGCTGCTTTTGACCTCATATGCATAATAAAAGCGACCAGACAATAGAAAGGTGAAGGCTAGAAACAGTATTTCAGCTTTGCAAATTATTATAATTACAATTACCATAATTATCATCATCACCATTAACCATATTAGCTTGTCTATTGAGAACATGTGTAAATGCTGCACAATACAAAAAAATCCAGGTATCTCAATTCCAGTTTAGCAAAATTAATTAGCT